GCTCGCACGATCAGCGTTGCTGTTGAGATAGTCATACAGTCATGGAACAAAATCATCATTGAAAGCCGACCAAGAATGAAATCAAAGATAAAATTCCGGTGCAATTGGTATAATGAGAATTAGTAAGAAAAAAGTCCATAGACCAAGAAATTGCGTTTTTGAGTTCCTCTCTTGACTCGTAGAAAAACTCTTGCTTTGTTAACAAGCAGAATGATAATGATGTCGATTTATACGAAGACAACTTTATCAGTCATGCGTATTCTGATATAAGCAGTGTAACTGTATGGAACACCACAAGCTGAACAAAGATGGCAGGAAGGATACCTATAAGAAGGTTCCCTGTGCCTGGGATTATATCCTCTAGGCAAGAAAGACTTGGTGGATTTTGGAGGTTTCGATGCATTTTTATCAGACTTTGTTCTGGGTTCCTGAAGACGGAGATCCTTTGGAATCTCTCTAATAATCAACTCATTCCCATCTTCAGAAATACTGTCATCAGAATAAGAAGATGGCAAAACACCTTCATCTTCTGAAGAATCACTATCAGACTTGGTAGCTTCACTGCCATGGATATCAGCATTATTTTTTTCTTTCTTTGATGCCAAGCTAGGTTCAGTGACAGTTTCCTCTATTACATCTTCAAAATGTTCAAGATCATCATCAACTGACTCATCCTGGAGCATTGTATTCCTGAACAAGAGAAAAAACTTGTAAATATGACCAAATTCAGTGCATGGCACTTTTAAATGAAACCAGTGTTAATTACCATAATTGTGGCCTTGCTTTGAGAACTTCTGATATAAGAAAAAGGAAGCCACAGGCATATTGGGGAGGTTGTTGAAGTGCAACCTGGCAGATGTTTGAATTGTTAAATTTTGAAGATAGTACAGAAATCAGAAAACACCCGGTTCATTTTTAGAACCAACAGATATTCAAATAGTTAACGTTTGTAGATATACACCTACTTAAAGCTAAAGAGAACGCAGTGCAATGCTTATCTGCAATATACGTTTTTGAAAAGGCAGCTACACGTTTCAAGTTGACGTCGCTTTTCATGGCTCTCAGAAGAAGTCCGATAAACATTCTGCCTGAAAAGACAGGCCATGTGAGATTTGTTTTTCGGGGGGGGGATAGAAGTAATAGAATCCTATTGAATTGCGATACTGTTGGAAGAAGCAACAATCACAAACAAACTTTACAATCTTGTTCCACACAATTACAAAATCAATCAATATTCCCGAATGTCCAACAGTATACGAAGGAACCCTTTTGAAGAAGCTTTGTGGAATACATTTATTTCCAAAATTTCTTACATAAAGTAACGTGTTCCCCCACAATTATAAAACCCCAGCAGCATTAGATCACAAACATATTGCATTGGAAGAAAAAATTAACCAAACTCAGCTTCACTTGCCTTGGACGAATTCATAGCAGCAGGAAGTAATAGTTTTGAGTACAAGGCCCGTTAAAATCGGTCACTGACAACCTGATTCTTAGATGATATTTTATCAAGATGCATTAGTGCTTGAACTCCTACATTAAAGTTATTGGAATGAACCTGCAATAAAATCATGAGATAATGATTTTCCAATTTTCAAGAAGAAAACAACTTGAATAGCTCGGTTTGAAAGTTTTAATGTTTTAATTTTAAATTACAGTTTTATGTTATAATATTTTATGAAATTTATATTATATATCACTTTAGCTATGATATTGTCTCACAAGTTTTTACTTAACGCGTGATGATTTTCATGCATAGGTTCAGACAGAGAAAGAAATGTGAAGTGAGAAGCCTCATGAGCATCTTCTTAAAAATTCATACCTAATATCAATATCAGTAAGATGTCTTATCTTTGACTTATTAGTAACATGTATATTATATCATTACGTTGCTTTATCGGATTTGTTTTTAAATGGTCTGTAATAGTATACTAGGATAATTTTTTTTGGTTAGTATAGTTATGTTCGTATTTATGAATGAATAGTTTATATATAATTATGGGAGAACTGATTTTCCTAATTAAGAAATGTTTAGGCATATTTATATAATTTATGAAACAACACCTAACTGCCTAATTCCTGCTTAAAAATTTATTTGTTTTGAACGTTCAAATATTATTTTATGATTATACACAATTAATGAAATGGTTTTTTTTTAAAGTTGATAAAGAAATGTTTTAAAATGAAATAAATTTTAAGCGTTTATGATCAATGAGTGTCTGTAATGTTGATGTAGCATCTTAACTCGTATTTCGAGACGTATATGTGTTATGGGTGTTACATGTAATAACCAGAATATGATTAGAAGTAATTATCACAGCTTAAAAAGTTGTTACAGTGTATAGACAAAATTATCAACTTACTTTGTTTACTAGAGAAGATAGCAGCTTACGCTCTTGCTCTAGTTTGCTCTTTAGCAGTATATACATGGTCTGCAAGATATAAAAAAGTTAAGACATGTAATATAACCTGATGGAAACAAGAATGCAAGTGGAATAAACATTTCTAATTACTCATATTAGGATATGAGATTCCATCCCCTGAAAAAAATTGACCTCGCAAAATTCAGATCAAGATGCTCTAGACTGATCTATGATCTATTTCCAGTTCAACTAAATTTAGATGCATCCAGTCAGCTTAAGCTACCATGTAAAATAGGAATTCCAACAAAAGCATTAAACGGAAAAGTAAAAAAACTTTGATGATTACACAATTTACACAGAAGACACATTTTATTCAATCTTCCGCAAAAAGTGAGATCTGCTAACGATCACAAGCAGTGCCATAGATTAGCAGATAAGACTAACCTTTAGTGTCTTATCTTTCAGAGCAGGCAACATATCTCTTGAAGCCTCATCGACTGCATTGATAAAACGCTCATACCTGAAAATTTTGAAGAAAACTCAAGTTATTTTACCTTTGGGTTACTTTTTCAAATCATTTCAAGTTTGACACTTGAGTTATTCAGGTTTGTTACAGCCACTGCTGCAATTTGTTGACTTTGAAAATGAAATTAGTTCAGTTTTGAGCTAGACTTAAGATGGTATGGTTTGAAAATGCAATTTGTTAATCGGGATTCAGGTAAATCTTGATTTCAGTAGGTAGGGTTCAAGTTCTCAATTGTGGATCAAATTGGGTTTAGATAAGTTTTCAACTTAAGATAAATTCAGTGGGTTATCTGGGTTCGGGTTAGTTTTGATGGCTCTGGACTGAAAGTGCAGTTAAGTTTTCCCCCCTTACATATTCAGTTTTAACAAGTACAGGTAAACCACACAAGCAAAAATGAAGCTTAATCAACTACTGCTTGCATGGTCAGTCAAATTATTGGGAGCCATGCCTAAATTAGTTCCAAGGACCATCCTAATTAAAATTTGACAAAGCAACCATCTTAGGAAGCTTTTGAATGTCACACAACTACCACAAGTTGTAAGAGAAAAAAATCAAACATACCTTTGCTTCACGCAGTCTTCCCAATACAAGAAAAGCAGAAGGGAAAAGCCATCTTTTGTCTCTAGAAGATCATTAACTGGACGTTGTAAAAGTGTTTTCAGCTTTCGATCAGGCAATAACCTGTAAAAAAACGATGCGTGTAACAATTGACAAAAACCATCAAACTATGTCAACATACACTTCCCACCTTAGATTTTTGGAAAATCTACAAACTAACTAAATCTAGATATCTTCTAGAAGTGCATAGCAAGGATTCATGTCTGTAATGTAATCATCATCTTGCCTAATAAAGGACAGCTACTATAGATGGAAGTTAACAAACTTGGGCACATCTTAGCACTTAAAGCTCTTAAACCTCCTACCTTAGCCAATATTTACTGATAACTTTCACTCTATCCTAATGTAGTACGTGAACTACATGAACGTACGAGATTGAAAAGAAACTCAAGAAGAAAGAAAGAGGATTAGTCATGCAAGGGTGGAAGGGAAGAGAGAAAATACTCACTTTGAAATAAAAAGTTCTTTTAAAGCTTCAATTAGGGGTGTTCAAACGATTAATTCAGCCACCGACTGAACCGAATTTCCATTAATCGAATTAATTGAATTTTTTTTAACCGTTAACCGAACCGAACTTTTTTTTTGAAAATATTAACCGAACCGAACAAAGTTCGGTTATTTCGGATGGTTAACTGAGTTAACCGAAATTTTTTTATAATTTATTTAAGGGTAAAGTATAGTAATGGTCACTGAACTTTTCTAAAACTTTAATTTAGGTCCCCCAACATTTAAAACTTGCAATATAATCCCCCAAAATTTAGTCCGTTTACAATATGGTCCTCAACATTTAGTCCATTTGCAATATGGTCCCCGACGTAACTGTTGGGGGATCATATTGCAAACAGACTAAATGTTGGGTGATTGTATTGCAAGTTTTAAAAGTTAAGAGACCTAAATGAAAGCTTTAGAAAAGTTCAGTGACCAATACTATGCTTTACCCTAAAAACTAAACGTTAAGTATGATTTAAAAAAAATTAAAAGTTTAGGTACTAAAACTAATAACTTAGGTATTAAATGTGTAATTTACCGAAAATTAAAAATAAAAGAAATCAAATTCAACCATTAATATAAAATACAAAAAAGATTGATTATTTAATACATGGTTGGCTCACGTAGTAAGTAATTTAATATCGTTTAAACAAGATCTTAAATTCGAATATTTGTGTACTTAGAAAATCTTCGTTGAGAGACTCACCCACCAAAACCAGATGTCTTCGAAACTGGGATAAAAAAAACTATAGTTTTTCTTTCAGAATTTTGGATAAACTATAGTTAAAAAATCTTTTTTAAATTACGATCAATTTTGTGAATTACGAACTTGGATTTCTAAATCCAACTTAAGCACTTTTAGTAACGCGCAGATTTTGAGTCATGTGAGATACTGAGATCTATCGTCTTATTTATAGTTCATTAAAACAAAATAAAATGAAGCTTAGAGGGCCAGCGAATTCTAAACGTTCATCACCATTTCATCAAACAATTCAAGCAAAGGATTGGTCACATAATCTTTAAGATTACTTCTTATTCTCGATGCGCAAAGATCAAAAACTCCAAACCGCAGACGAGTAATTTATACATCGGTGTCGTGGTGTTGGTCCTCCAACACCATGAATGGATCGAGCTGAGCGACGAAGCTTCCGGCTACAAGCAGGCACTCATTAAATTCGATCCATTACCCGATTATACACACTCCGAATGACCGTAACTTAAGGGTTTGGCAGCTCGAACCCTTGGGATGGAAGATGCAAAGAGCTTGTAGCTCGCAAAAGCTGAACATATACGAAATCAAAATAGTTTGATTCCTTGATATACCTTAAGTTCGGCCATCTTTAAGATTCATCGGCCTCAGTGTATTGCGAGTGAGACGCTGATAGGATGGCTGCTTCGATGCCGGAGCCATCGTTGAAATGTTCGATGACGATATTGCTAGAGACTTCTTCTCCTAGCAACTCCACGAGGGTGTCCTCCATGCAGGTCCGGAATTTAGTCTAGTGTTCATACAATCCACCATTTAGAGCTACCACCGACTTCTGCTTTTCGCCGTCTTTCACAGTGTCTCTCCCAATTTTCTTGAGGATACCAACGATTCCGGCAGCGGATAGGCGAGCACCGCAAGAAGCAAAGATGTCGCACAGCTCAACAATTACTTTTCTCATTTTCAGGGAGGTGTTTGATATCTGAAATTAAAATAAAGCAAAAGATAACAAAAATGCTCGGAAAAACGTGAAGCAAAGCGACCAAAATGATTTACCTCTAAGATATCCTTTAGTTTCGTCGCAACAATTTTGAGATCCGGAGATGTGTCATGATGCATTGCAGACATGTGAGGAGTTCTGCAGAATTAACAGATTAACATAAACCATTCTCCGAGTTCTCATCTCATCCAAAAGTCGAAGACTGCTAAACTAAATATTGCAAAAACGATTATCGTATGGATTCAAATTGAACACACATAAACAAGAACCGTGGTCCAATACATACAAGCTGCCTAAAAATCACTAACCAAACATATCATTAAACCAAATCGGATTTAGATCAGATTAAGATTAGGTTTGGTTAAGGCTCTGCATGTTATTATTATCCCAAGTACGAGGGCCTACCGGTCAGCCAATGACATGTTTGCATTTGAGGATGGATGAGATAGTTAGTAGCTACATGAATCTAAGCTCCATTGCAAAATACGACATATAGAAAAATTGCAGTACTTCTACGCACCTAGTGAATTCTAACTGGTGAACGTAGCAACGACATACCTTAGTATAAATGGAATTTTTAGTTTTGCCGGAACAGTATCACCAAAAAATGCAGCTTCTTCAGCCATCTTGCACAGAATTCTACGTACAATCTCTCCCAAATACATACCAGAAATAATTTTTTCGAAAATCTGTGAACAGTAGTGAATAAAATTATAGCTAGAGTATAAAAAAATTATCAAGTCGGAAATAGAAACTTTGGCCGAAGAAAGTGACCTGTTCTCCATGTCATTGGCTTAAAATAGACTTGTTCAATAAAATCAAGTTTCACTTAAAATTTTCTTCAAATATATAATGGGTAAATAATAAAAAATAAAACTTTTACTCTAATTGGGATATAAACAAGTCAATGCATAAATTAAAATGCTTACTACTATAAGCCTTTAACTATTAGAAAAATTCTAAGTCAATGAAGCTCTACGTTATATTTCAATTATAATTTATTAAAATTTATTTTTATTTTTATTTTTTCATTAAAATGATTTAAAATATAAATAAAATACATTCACATATTAATTAGTTATAATATTTTTTCAACGAAGCCTTTAACGAAGCTCTCGTATTATTCAATTATTCCATGTTGGAGTTCTTATTAGGACATTTTCCCTTTTTTTTATTGCCATTAACTATATATATTATGTCGTGATATATTTGTCATTTGAATGGTGTAGCCTAGTGGTTGGGGTGTTTGCTTACTCTCCTCACGTGTTGGGTTCAAACCCCACCAGTAGTAGTAATTGATTTAATTTATTTTCAATTCATTCAATTGGTGACAAGTGGTACCATTTGATTGGATGGAAAATTTATTAAATTAAATAAAAATATGAAGAAAAAAATCCAATCACATAGTGACACATGTCACCATCTAGTTGAGGATTAAATTTATTGAATTAATTAAAAGTTAAGACCAAATTAATAGAATCAGTAAGTAATGAGGATTATAAGTATAATTATACAAATTTTATTAATTATTGTGTCATCTCCTCCGTTAATATTTAACAATAAGTGGCTTGATTGACAAGATTTAAATAGTTAGGTGACTTGATTGGCAAAATTAAAAAATTGGTGGTTAAAGTAAAAAGGGTAAATAGTTAGGCAGTCAATGATATAATTTACCCTAAAAACTAATGTTTTATAAATATTGTAGTTTAATTAAATACATTTAGATTTTTAACTAATTTATAATTATACATTTAGTACTTTATAATTTAACATTTTATAAATTAATTTAAGGGTAAAGTATAATAATGGTCACTGAACTTTTCTAAAGCTTTCATTTAGGTCCCTCAACTTTTAAAACTTGTAATATAATCCCCAACATTTTGTCTGTTTACAATATGGTCCCTCAACATTTAGTCTGTTTGCAATATGGTCCCCGACGTAACTATTGGGGGATTATATTACAAACAGACTAAATGTTGGGGGACTATATTGCAAGTTTTAAAAATTGGGGACCTAAATGAAAGCTTTAGAAAAGTTTAATGACTATTACTATACTTTACCCTTTATTTAATTAGATTAATATGAATATAATAACATTTTTTGGGTTAAAATTTTAATTAGGTATTGATAATTTAATGAGTTTAGTGTGGTTAAAAAATAATTGAGTCTTAATTCTTAATGAGTTTGAGCTTAAAATATGTATTTAATATATATAATATATTTCATATTTAATAATTTCAGTTAATTAACCGATTTCGAACCGAGTTAACGGTTAACCGAATATTGAAAAAATGTTAACCGTTCCCAGACCGAACTAATTCGGTTCGATAAGTTAATTCGGTTAAAACTAAAAAATGAACTGTAACACCCCAACCCATATCCGACCCGGATACGAATCCAAGGTGTCACATTGACCTTTTAAAACATGTACTTCTATAAAATAGTGAGTAATTTAAAACTTTTATGACATATAAATGACTAATTTACATAAAAGACATTTTCATTATTACAAAACCAATCAGAGCGTGTATATTTCACTTATTTATTTACATATAACTATTCGAAACATTTATAAAACTGTTCATAGCTTAAACAATATATTATTTTGAAAACATGCCAACTAGAACTTTATATACTAAAATACATATTATTCACATCTTTTCTGATCTGACATTTAGTAAGGAGAACTGACCTGTCTTGCTCCACATTGCTCTTTACTCTTCTCGTAACCTATGTGTAAATCACTTACACGCTAAGTCAAAGACTTAGTGAGGCATATAAACATATAAGGTAAATGATAACTAATAATCATACCTAAACAATTACTACTATCATTTCATATACCACTCATACTTTTACATGTAATAAAATATATGCATACATATATGTCGTTATCATTCATATCTCTTATCTCATGTTCCTATGATTTCTTATGTCCATATCATATAACATATACCATAACCAATTGCACATATACATATCATGTCGTGTACACTATATATATATACTATCATAAAACACGTACACCCAAGCAATTATATTATCATATTCATTTCTTTCTTATTTTACCACTATCATTGATTCCTTTCATCATATGGTCTTATAAGTTACCATTTGTACAATCAATATCACCCATGAAATTCCACAAGGAAACAAACATATTATCATATCATTTTATTAATATTATTTATTTAATAGCCCATGATACTCATGTGAGAACTAAAGATATGCGAGTACATAGAGGTTGTGCACTAATGCTGTCACCACAGCTCATATAATAATTGCACCGAAGTGCCACATATAATTGCACCGGAGTGCCGCATAGAATTGCACCGTAGTGCCATATAATAATGTCCATAAGGACCACATATCATTCCTTAAGAATCATATACATATACTAGGGATCAAGTATGTGTCTCACCAGACTTCACACATATTCCAAAGAATACATATATGTCCCGAAGGACCACATATCATTCCTTAAGAATCATATACATATGCCAAGGATCAAGTATGTGTCTCACCAGACTTCACACATGTTCCAAAGAAAACATATATGTCCCGAATGACCACATAGACCCTCGACTCTTGGCATGCCAACTATACCCCTAGCTCTCATGACACATAATATGGGCATTATCTTTTATATCCTTTTACATATTCATGTAACCATATCATATATTCATATAAGCTCATGGTTTCCTTCACATATACATGTAATCAAGTAGTTCATATCCATTCTCATATGAGTTCATATTCATATAAACATAGGATTCACTTTCATATATCACATATACTTTCTCTTTCATATAACTCATGTCTTGTGATCATGTAAACATGTATCACATAATATAACATGTCAAACATGTCACACAACTGATATAATATTCTCATATATTCATGTAGTTCAGTATCACATATCATATGAATCATATAAATCATGTCACATATACTCATGCATACATAAAATTCACAAATCAAATAACATTTTAAGAGTTACTTATTACCATAGTAACTCCGTCACTGGCTCATTGCAAGCCAATGCTTATTCGATAACATAAGTACAATGAAATTGCACTCACCTGGCCTCACTAGTCCATTCCAATCTCTTATATTCCCTTTTTATCGATATTACTTGTCAATGATTCTGGAACTCGTTTAGGCTCTGAATCTACATAATTATACATTTTAAGACAATTATTAGATACCTATACCTTGTAATTTGTTACTAGAAACTTAAACGAACTTATTAAACCAATATTTACAATTTTCCTTTAGGGGGAATCGGTTCCCTCCTGTGGGGGTATCGGTTCCTCCTGGACATTCTGGAATTCTGTCGTTTGAGAGGGTATCGGTACCCCTTTAAATGGGTACCGATTCCCCCTAACCCAGAAATCATTTTTCCGCACGAAAATTACTTCATTTCCTCTCAAACACTCCATATATCATCCCCTTTTTCATTCTTAACTCTAGTACACCTACTTAAACCAATCTATATTCATTTATTTCATCTTAAACCTCAAAATCCTATCTGCCATATGTAATTCAATAATTACATCAATTCTGCAATATGTTTCAAATCCAATTCTATTACTCCAAATCTCTTAATTTAACTATTGACAAGTCAAATTCAACTTAAAATTCAACTTATCAACTTTATTTCAAGATTTCATTCAAAAACTCAAAATCTTTAATCTCTCCTAATTCCACCATCCTTTGTTTTTAAGATGATTTAAGCTTTCCTTAAGCTTAGTTATCATCTAATAATCAAAACCCAACCTTAAAATCAACAATTCATTTATAAACAAAGAAACTTACCTTTGGCTCTTGGCTTCCACGTGAAGAAGAAGAAGAAAGGAGAAGAGAACTCTGGAGAATTCTCTCCCTTTCTACGTGTATATAATTCCATTTTTAATTCCTTAAATAATCAAATGACCATTTTACCCTTTATTTCCTTTAATAATTACTAAATAACCTTCATCATATATATATCCAATAATCATTGAACTATTTCATTCTTCTACTTTAGTCATCAAATTCTGAAACTTTACAAATTGGTCACTAACCCATAATTTGGGATGTTACATGAACACTCCTAGCTTCAAATCTAGTAAACACATATCGCAGATCAGCAAATAGGAGTAATATCCAGGGAAAATTAAATAACACGCGTGTAATAATATTTGTGTATATCAACACATTTTAGCATTAGTACATTACTCAAAGAAACTCATGAAAATATTTATGAACAAACAATATTCAACATATAAAACTAAACCCATGCCACAAATCAAATTTAATGAAATCATATAGCTAGCCTACATACTCATTAAAAAATAGTTTTTAAAAGTAATAGTTTTGCAAGTAAACGCAACCAAGAGTTCATCAAATGAGCATAAAGTCAGTAATGACCAATAGGTCAAACACGCCACAATTATAATGAAATGCATTAAAACCATAAGTTCATCAATTACAACTTTCCCAACTCCTAAAACTTAAAACTTAACATCAGAAAAAGGGAAAACAAATCATACCCAAAATCCCATTAAGTGACTTCAAATTTAGCAACAGGATCATCTGCAACCACAAATGAAAAGGAAAAAACTTTATAAGCAGTTGTCTCTGACCTCTGACTAGCCAACACCATCTTCATATCCCCAAACTTCCCTTTGGATAACTCATAATATTTCGTATATTGCTAAATCAATCTTTCCCCAAGCTCTCTCTTCTTCTCCACCAATCTCTTCAACTCTTCCATGTTTCTCACATCCACAACTGTT